CAAGCTTAAAGCGTCATGGCAGAGCATTGAAGTCGACTAGTCGATTAGTCGGTGCAACCCCTAGTACACAACCACCTTATATTGATAAAGATCCACCCAGTGTTTTTTTCTTTAATCTTGTTAAATCATTTCCCCTTTCTCAAATCAAGCCATTCTCAGATGCCTGTCTGTGTGATGTCACACAGACCCAAGCCCTCCCACGATTGTCGACTGAAACTGGTGTATTTACCTTAGACCTGCCCTGAGTGAGCTGTCATCAGTCCACCATTGTTTTGACGCCGGAGCAGATGTAGACAAGAACGTCTCCTAAGTGATTGAGGTGTTCTGTTGTTGGATGTAATAATGAACATAGCAGTCGTCTTTTACTCCCGGCATCTGAGCCGCTGAAGATGCAGTGGATTACTTTTGTTTTTGAAGGGAATGCGCAGATCCCGGCTCTACCTAAATGCGTCTATCTTCGCGCGAATCATTCGTGATCCAGCCTCACCTACAGAAGAAGTGAGTATAAGGTTCTTTTAATGAATCTTTGCAAATCACCTTTCCTAATAACGTGCTAGTTAGCGAGTTCCACGGCTGAAGTAAACAGTCTCATGAGAACGGCTCGTCACCCCACAGAAGAGAGGGGCAGGATGAGCAGAGCTCATTAGCATTTAAAGGAACATGGACTAAAACGGCTTGCTGGAAACAGAGCTGATTCTGACAAGGTAAAAAAGGGTGTTATTTTACACTACCATTGAGAAATTTTAACCAAAGTATGCTATAGACTTTTCATTAAGACCCTAAAGAATCATATCAACTTGTGGAAAATGGGCATCCAATGACCCCTTTAAATGATGTGTATGTGTGAATGTATTGAAATATATTAATAAACTGCACATCACCAACAATATGCAGCTGAACTGAATTTTAAAAAACAGAAATCCTCTTGAATTTTGATGTTTTCATGCTCTCGGCAGTCAATAATTTTGCACAAACTATGTTTATCAAGCAACTACATTAAATGTATACCTTTAAACTAGTTTCGTGCATGGATTTTGAGGATGAGAGGATGTCAAGCAACCTGTTTCATGCCAGCATCCACTAGCTTCACAGAAAAGAAAGATGTGTTTTCATCCAAACATCATAGAGTTTGACTAGATGTGCAGCCTTTGATGTCAATAACAGAAGATTACAGAAGCATTTTCTCTTAACTTTGCTATACGAACTACATATGATTATACAGTTTGAACAATGCAAACTAATACAATCAGAAGAAATCTGCGACACATTTTTGGGTTACAACCCACCAGTTGAGAACCACCGCTATAAAGAATCAAGTTGAATTCAATTGAGCAGAGTATTTCTATACATGCCTCGATGCACAGAGTTTCTCAAACACTAATCAATCATACTCAAACCTCAAAGAGGAGGGGGGAAGAAAGACATTTCTAATTTTGTTAATGCTTGTTGAGTGTTTGAAAGAGAACTACACAATTAAGAGATTAGGGTCTGGTTACGCTGAGAGGGTTCCTGGATATACCACTAATCTTTCCCTCATGCCTGCCGTCAATACATCCATAATGCACTGGCCAATCTTCATTTAAGAAATAGAATCTGTGTTACAAACGCTCTCTTCAAATGTAATGATATTAACAGTTCTACTTTCCTCTCAGCCTAAAACACTTAGCTGTTTTTCAAAGTGTGCTCATTTCCCATTAGCCAGGCCACTGAGTGAAGCCGAATAAGATTTTCATCATTTAGTAACTGGACATCACTGCAGAAAGACCCTAAAGAGGATTATGACCCACAGATAGAGGGAATAAAGGCCAGGGAAATTGCTTTGATTTGATATGATATGAGAAAAAATGGATGCATTAACCTTGTCACCTCAAAATATCTGCGTATCAAATTAGTAGTAAGACTTCCGCTGACGGTTACTCGTTGCTTTTTGGCAAACCACTCTCGACAGTAAAATGTTACGCCTTTTATGGGGACGTTTATACTGTATCATGTGCAAAGTTTTCAATTAATAGTGAAATAAATGTAAAATGCAGGAACGACATCAGCAATTTTTTGATTGCACAGTTTTAAAAAAAAAAGGCTATGAACGTTTTATACAAATAAATGTCGTTTCCCTGTTAAAAAGGAAAATAAATAGGGCACCACTAGGTTTTCTTGTAGGGTAGGAATTGTATTATTTAGCGCCGCTGACCTTAATGATGGCTCACTTGTTTTGGTAGCACTTTCCTTTCAGCCAACGGCCCCTAGCAGGTCGTTAGGAGCGTTAGGAGAATAGCTCTGGGGCACAAAGCATGCTTCTGGATTCAGACCGCTGGCATACATTTTTATATATTTTATATATATGAAATCTGAAATTCAAACCATTTTTTTTTTCTTCTCTGTTATTTTTAACAAGGACTGACAACTGCTGACATTCATGGTTTGTGTTTTTATGTTATTATGTCATTATGTCATTATATCATCATTACGGCTGTCAATCATTTAAAAAATGTAAAGTAATTAATTTTGATACAATTAATGACATGATATGCTGATTATTTTACGCCATATTATTACAAAAGGTTCAAACGGTCACTGATGCTCCAGAAGGAAAAAATATGCATTAAGAGACGGGGGTGAAAACTTTTGAAGAGAATGAAGATGTGTACATTTTTCTCATTTTGACTAAATATTTTTACATCTGTGTGGATTGATACATGTACATTAAGAGGTTAAACAAAAAGGAATTTATGTATATACATACACATAATGGTAAGGGGACGTGACTAAATCTAAATGTATTTACAAATATGTTTGTACTGTATTATTTAAAGAATGTTTTATATTTTATACTTCATTAAAAAATTTAACGTGTTAAATTGACATTAATAATCATTACATGAACTAAATCCTATGTGTTGAACGGAGTCTGATGGCTCACAGGGTGTAAATTGTTTCAAGTTTCCTTTTCAAAGCTTCTCAGGCACACACGATTCCACAAAAGCCACGGCATACTGCGTGGAGATGGCCTCAAACCGCTCCGAAGAGGCTCTTGTTCGGTAATGATACTTTCCAGATGAAATCAAGGGGAAAACCAACAATAGTAGCACAAACAGCCCTCCTCCGTATGAAAGGACAAAAGGACTCTCGAAGGGCTTGCTTATCTTTTACCTCTAATGGTCTGCTTCCCTCCTTTTCACTCAGAATACACACTCTCTCTCTCCCTCTCGCTGACTTACGTAGAGTACTTGAGAGAGACAGACAGAGATGGAGGGTAATACTGAACTGTTGTGGCACAGAATTGCAGGATGGGAGTTAAAGAAAGAGGGAGTGAGAGAGAGCAGGCCTAACTCAGTCCCTCAATGAGCTCTATAGGACTTACACATGCAGTGAAAAAAAAGCAGAATGAAAAAATGTCAATAAGTAGCACTCTGCTGAGTACAAGCGGCAGAACACGGCCGAGCAGAATGACTTCTTGTCACCTCAAAATATCTGCGTATCAAATTAGTAGTAAGACTTCCGCTGACGGTTACTCGTTGCTTTTTGGCAAACCACTCTCGACAGTAAAATGTTACGCCTTTTATGGGGACGTTTATACTGTATCATGTGCAAAGTTTTCAATTAATAGTGAAATAAATGTAAAATGCAGGAACGACATCAGCAATTTTTTGATTGCACAGTTTTAAAAAAAAAAGGCTATGAACGTTTTATACAAATAAATGTCGTTTCCCTGTTAAAAAGGAAAATAAATAGGGCACCACTAGGTTTTCTTGTAGGGTAGGAATTGTATTATTTAGCGCCGCTGACCTTAATGATGGCTCACTTGTTTTGGTAGCACTTTCCTTTCAGCCAACGGCCCCTAGCAGGTCGTTAGGAGAAGCTTCTCAATAGCTCTGGGGCACAAAGCATGCTTCTGGATTCAGACCGCTGGCATACATTTTTATATATAGTCCTGTGCTGAAATCTGAAATTCAAACCATTTTTTTTTTCTTCTCTGTTATTTTTAACAAGGACTGACAACTGCTGACATTCATGGTTTGTGTTTTTATGTTATTATGTCATTATGTCATTATATCATCATTACGGCTGTCAATCATTTAAAAAATGTAAAGTAATTAATTTTGATACAATTAATGACATGATATGCTGATTATTTTACGCCATATTATTACAAAAGGTTCAAACGGTCACTGATGCTCCAGAAGGAAAAAATATGCATTAAGAGACGGGGGTGAAAACTTTTGAAGAGAATGAAGATGTGTACATTTTTCTCATTTTGACTAAATATTTTTACATCTGTGTGGATTGATACATGTACATTAAGAGGTTAAACAAAAAGGAATTTATGTATATACATACACATAATGGTAAGGGGACGTGACTAAATCTAAATGTATTTACAAATATGTTTGTACTGTATTATTTAAAGAATGTTTTATATTTTATACTTCATTAAAAAATTTAACGTGTTAAATTGACATTAATAATCATTACATGAACTAAATCCTATGTGTTGAACGGAGTCTGATGGCTCACAGGGTGTAAATTGTTTCAAGTTTCCTTTTCAAAGCTTCTCAGGCACACACGATTCCACAAAAGCCACGGCATACTGCGTGGAGATGGCCTCAAACCGCTCCGAAGAGGCTCTTGTTCGGTAATGATACTTTCCAGATGAAATCAAGGGGAAAACCAACAATAGTAGCACAAACAGCCCTCCTCCGTATGAAAGGACAAAAGGACTCTCGAAGGGCTTGCTTATCTTTTACCTCTAATGGTCTGCTTCCCTCCTTTTCACTCAGAATACACACTCTCTCTCTCCCTCTCGCTGACTTACGTAGAGTACTTGAGAGAGACAGACAGAGATGGAGGGTAATACTGAACTGTTGTGGCACAGAATTGCAGGATGGGAGTTAAAGAAAGAGGGAGTGAGAGAGAGCAGGCCTAACTCAGTCCCTCAATGAGCTCTATAGGACTTACACATGCAGTGAAAAAAAAGCAGAATGAAAAAATGTCAATAAGTAGCACTCTGCTGAGTACAAGCGGCAGAACACGGCCGAGCAGAATGACTTTAATAAGCTGACACAGAAGACTGCGCTCAGCCGGACCGATGGATAAAGGGGGAAGAGCGCAAGACAGAGCAGAAGAAAGCATAACAGAAAACCAGAAACTAAACAAAGGAGGTCTGCATTGTGCTACGATTGAAAATCAATTCTCTGATAAATCGGTGAAAATTCACCAGAGCCTCAGAGATGGAATTAAAACAGGTCTGTTGGCACAGGTGGTACACATAATGTAATATTTGATCGAACAATGCTCACCAAGAAAATAATTAAAATAGCATTGTATATACATAATACATCAAAGTTTGTCTCTGAATACACTATAATAAAAATTACAATTCACATGATAAACTGTTTCTTGACATCAGGAATATTTCAGTTCATTGTCAAAGCAGAGTATGGTGTTATTTTAGAATAACTACATTGATTTTACATTGACTTTGATTATGATTAAAACTTTCTGCAACGTCTATTTATATTTATAAAATATATCATAAATGTTTTTTGAATACTTTAAAATAAACATTATAATTTAAAATAGTTTCTTGTAAATGAACATATCAGAAATATTTCATTTTGTCAAAGCATTTTTTTTTTTAAAGATTTCATTGATTTTACATTGTCCTTTGTAAATTATATCAGGAAAAATAAATAAATAAATAAACAAACAAGCCTATCATATTTTAGATATTCCCATAAAAACTATTAAAAAGTTAAATTTGTCATTATTTTAAAAAATATCCAGAAAATCTTATTTTTACTATATTTTTATTTTTAGAAAATACATTTCATAATATAATTGGTTCCAAATGCTACAAAATATTTTATACATACAGTGGTGGCAAAAATTATAAAAATAATTATACAAAAATGGTTTTAAGTCAGAAGTTATTTCTATCTTTTGCTGTAGTGTGTCAGTAGGAAATATCAGTTTACGTTTCCAAACATTCATTTTGCCATTAATTGTAATAATCCAGTGAGATTTTTGTCTGACAGCAGCCAGTGCTCCACACAGAGATCTGATCTGATCATCACCAGTCTGTCTGGAATGACATGAAGAAACAGAACAAACTAAAACAGACTCAATCCAGAAGAACTGTGGCAACTCCAAGACGTTTCAAGAAAACTCCTGCAAAGCTTCCTGAAAAACTCTGCTGAAGTGCACCGAGGGCAAAAGCTGCTTTAAACGCAAAGGAAGCTCACACCAAATGTTCATTTAATTTAGTTAATAGAAGTCAATTGATAAAGAAAATCTATTTATGACATTATTTTTGACAGCATCCTCATCTTACAGCAATTTTACACAAGTACCTAAACCTTTTAACAGTGCTGTAGCTTTGCAGGTTTCTTGAAGCATCTTTGAGACGTTGCCACAGTTCTTCTGGATTGAGTCTGTCTCAGTTTGTTCTGTTTCTTCATGTCATTCCAGACAGACTGGATGATGATCAGATCAGATCTCTGTGTGGAGCACTGGCTGTTGTCAGACTCCTTGTGCAAACATCAATCTCAATGGATTATTACAATTAATGGCAAAATGAATGTTTGGACATGTAAACTGATATTTCCTACTAACACACAACAGCAAAAGATAAAAATAACTAACTTAAAACTAGGGCTGGTAATTTAACGCGTTAAATTAGATTAATTAATTATGGTGAAAAATAACGCGTTAAAATTATTAACTAATTTAACGCACTTGCCCCACCCCAGACCTATGTGGGTCATCTGACATTTGATACAGTTGATTGATGACAAATATGAGGCAGGACAACAACTCACTGCGTGATGGAGCCTAGAGAACGCAGTTAGAATGTCCCTAAAATTCAAGATATGAAGCAGCGCTGCATAGATCGATCGGTGTATGACATCAAAGCAAGGACATGGTTTGGTTGTACTTGCTAGTTTTGGTTATTGTGGGGGGAGTATGTCCCTCCTATCCCCACCACAAACTACGCCCCTGCATCAAAGTACCACAAGAGCGATTCAAAAGCATGCAGTACATTGCGGTACTTTGATGTCACACACCGATCGATCTGATGGTGATGATCCGCTTCAAGTCGAACAAGCCTAATGATTCAATGGACCATTCATAAAGAACCATTTACTTCACTCCTGAATGAATCAGCCATTTGAACGAAACAACTAAATGAATAAATGACTCGATGACTTAATCATTAAGACATTTACCACCACCTACTGGCTTTTTTAGTTTATTATTTAGAGTATCAATAATTTCATATTTCCATAGTAATAATAATAAAATTAATAAAATAAATTATTAAAGGTATAGTTCACCCACCCATAAATGACAATTGTGTCATCATTTACTCACCCTCATGGTCCAAAAGAG